TATATATATATATATATATATATGTTGTGTTGTAAACCTAATGTAATGTCCTCTTCAAGAAATCAAAAAGTTGCCGCTCTTGCTTTCTATGACGTAGGCAAATTGCCGAACCTCGTTAAATCCTTGTGTTTGTTCTTAATTCTTGCGTCTTCTTCACCCAAAATTCTCAACAACATGGTTAACATATGAGCCCAAAATTTTCTTAAAAACAAGTTGAATCCTCTTAGAAGTCTAACAGACATAGTTGAAGACCATTCCAACTTCATTAATATCAATAAATAGATTCAAACCTCGTCTTCTGGCAAAATATTATTCCCATCACATTATCATTGTAGCACGAAGTCCACATGCCTCCTTCCCCAAACAATGGTGGGAGGGTGGTAACCCCACGCCCAGTTATCCAGCTCAGGTCAACCAACCACCCCGCTGACCACAAACCAAACCTCTTCATTCCCTATACCTCACAGTATCAGATACATTGTTCTCCCTCCCTTAAACTTCGAATATTAATTATCTAATTTAAAACATTATCATAACATTTCATTTTTTCTTCTATATATATCAACTCCGGGAAAGAACTTTCTTCAGAGCCAAGCCATTCTTCATCCTTAGATTCTTAGTTATTGACAGAGCTCCAATGGCCTCCAATATCATGTCAAGCTGGTTACTTTCTCTATTTTTATTGAGCTTGCTCAGTTGCAGAGTGCAGGCCCAGCTCTCATCCTCTAGCTTCTATGCCACCACTTGTCCGAAGTTGCAGAGCATTGTGAGCTTATCCATGGCCAAAGCAGTGGCCAATGAACCTCGCATGGGGGCTTCCATTCTTCGCCTCTTTTTTCATGACTGCTTCGTTAATGTAGGAACCAGTCTTAGGTAATTTCTTGTCCTGAGAATGTTTGATTTCATTTCTAAGCTTTTGTTTGCATTGCCACATTAGGGTTGTGATGCATCAGTTCTGCTCGATGATAACTCAACTTTTACTGGTGAAAAGAACGCTTTCCCAAATCAAAACTCGCTTCGTGGATTTGAGATAATCGACAGTATAAAATCTCTTGTGGAGGCGTCGTGCAAAGCCACTGTTTCGTGCGCGGATATCCTCGCGCTTGCTGCTCGCGAAGGTGTTGTCCGGGTTAGTATTAAAATATTTGTGCAGTTATATAACATAATAGCGGCTCATATTTGGCTTGTTAAATAATCCATGTTAGATTCATTTGTTAAGCTAAGCACTCGATATATATACGAATCGAAATAAATAAAAT